TAAATTTAATGGAAAAAAAATTTACCTAACCAATTTCTTTCTAAATATATGGCAACAAAACTTGGTGGTATTGTGAAATAATCGATGAAACTATAAACTTCCAACAAAAACCATACTTTATCAGAAGCAGCAATAAACTGTAAAAAATAAAAAAGGAAAAAAAAACTGATAATATTGAATTTAAAAATAGTGTAATAAAACATTATTTTATTTTTGCAAATACTAGGCATAATTAATCAATCAAACTTTATATTGTTATTCATTATATTATTTGGATTAAAATTGTAGAAAAATTCATTCCAATCTAATAAAAAAAGAAAAAATGGAATAAATAAATAAGCTAGAAGAAAAATAGTACTCTTATAAAAAAATAAATGAGGAAGAAAATATTGAAGCCGAGATCGATTTGTTGTGATGGACTGTCGGACCATGATACACATGTTTCGACTTGAAAATTTGGACTGAAATTTTGACAAATTACTTTGAACAGTAATAATACCTAAATTTATCATTTTAAAATAAAAAAAAAAGACACAACCGAAATTTCCATTATTATCATCATCATTATCTATTCATGATAAATAATGATACATCTTGAAAAATTAAATTTTAATATATTGTAAGTCTAAACTTTTACACTATCCACATTTATTTAGAGAGATAAATGTGATAAGAAAGAAATTAAAGCGAGTAATTTAGCAAAAGTAGGTTAGAATTCATGCTTAAAAAGAATGCGAAATCTTTTAATTCGCAAATAAAAATCATAATGCCTATCAGTTACATGGATCTATTTGAAGTAATCTTTATCAGTAATATTTGATTTAACTATTAATACAGTGGAAAGATGGGAAGAATCAGTTGATAAATGTTATGGCTCAATGTTTCTTAACGACAGTTTAAAAATTCATTTTAGAGAAATTTCATTTATCAAATTAAAACAAGGATTCATTAATGTGTTTTGTATTCAACTAATTATATGATGATGAAAAGAAAAAAAAGAAAATGTGTATTAGTTGTATGAATTATTTAATTTTTTTATTTTTTATTTTTTGTTTTTCATTCATTATATTACTATGACTCTGATATTTTTTCAAAACTATTATTAATGAAAATTGACCATAATTTTAAAATTTTGGGATTAAATTTGAATATAAATTCATTTTATGATCAATTGTAAATTAATAAACGAATATTTCGAACATTATCCACAAAAATTTCATTTCTACTTATTTTTTAAACTAAGAAAAAAAATAAAAAAATTTGATACATTCGCTGAGAAATTTTCACCAATATTCTAAAAATAAAAACATATTTACAATTGAAGTATTTTAAAAGTTTTAGAAATAACAAATCTAATATGATACTTTTTCTGTTTGTTATATTCATTCTAGTGATATGATATTCTTCCTAGTGATATGATATTTCTATGGTTAGTGAATTTATTTATGTAAAAAAGAATTGAATTGAAAATTTTTAGTAATAACATGCCTAAAATTTTCCTCATAATTTCTTACTTTTTTTTTTCATTTTCATCAATATTTCCTTCAATGCAAAAAAATACCATAAATAAAAAAAACAAATTAATAAAAAGTACTTCAATGACTTTTCTTTTCCTTCCTTTTTTTTCTTTTTTTTATTTCTTCCATTCATCATTCATTTCTTTTCCTGTCCTTAAAATGTTGAAAAAAACAACTCAGGAAAGATTCAAAAGAAAATTTCTCTTTACATGCCATTTATTTCAACGAAAATAGTTAAATTGCTTTAAACTCTGATGTATATTTTGTTTATATTTATGTATATGTCTTTCCTTCCGCCACTTTTTTCTTTTTTTTGCTTTGTTTTGTTTTTGTTTTACTCAAGTAAAATAAAGGAAATAATTATTGCCGATAATATCTGATAATTATTATCAGTTAATTTATAGTGGAATGAATAGAAAAGGATGATAAAAATATTTGATGATATAATATGTGTTAGGGTTAAAATCAATAAGAAAGGAACAGAAATCAAAAAATAACTTAAATATGATAACAATTATGAATGGATGTTGTGTTCTGCAGACAATAATAATTCATGTTTCTTATCATTATGAAGTAGAACACATTCAATTTGATAGTTTTGTGCTAATAAAAAAAAGAAAAAGAAAAAACAAGAAATAAAATGGCAGATGATAAGTAAATTAGGTTTAATCAATAGTAAGATTTTATTTTAATCTCAAACTTTTGCTGCAACCTTTATTATCGAATAAGTATCGTATCGTTTTCAAAGATTCATTCAAATACTTGCAACAGTTTTCTTTTTCTTTTTTTTTTTTTTGTAAATAATGGTGTAAATGTTAAATGATGCTAATTAGAAGCATCTAGAAATGATAGAAATGATAACAAAAGAAAATTGAAATTTATTAATAAGAAGTTATACGATTATTTAGCTTTTTCCGTAACTCTCTTCTATAAATCTTATCATTAAGAATATCTTTGGTGATAAGATCTGTAAAAGAGATGCATATTTTGTCATATATTTAACTTTTTTTTTTAAATAGCAAATATAACTTATGATTTATCTTATTAAATGATATCGTAATCATAGAATGAAAATTGCTTACTGTGAGGCATCATAAAAGTAGATAATAAGAGAACCAATAGATAGAACAAATACTAATACGACCAAAATTCGGCCTGTCATACTTTGTCCTGATATTAATTCGCCAGCCCAATCTTTTGCTTCTGTCATCCAACCGATTTGTACTTCTTCCTGCTTGATCGTTATACCATCTAAATCACCTTTCAACAATTCATGCTTTCCTTCATCCTAAAATAACCATGTAAAAGTAACAACCTGGAATGATCATGAAATAGTAATAACCTGAGATGACCATGTAATAGTAACGAAATGGTGAATTGAAAAAATTGAATCTTGTCAACGATTCAAATTGCATATAAGCAGTTTTATTTACTTCAAACATTAAATTTAATTAACATAAATGTCATATTTTCTATCTTTCACTCAATCTATCATCAAATATTTGCTTATGTTAATGAAATTAATAAAACAAAGTAATAATAAAGTTAACATAGTAATAAATTTAGATTTACCTGATCAAAAACAGTATCCAGTTCGTCCCGTTCTCTTCGTTGACAAAAAAATATGCGCTATAATTCTCCAAATAACAACCAGTAACATTGATACACAAAATGTTACTATGCTAAAAATATGAAATAGATTGTGAAACAAATATAAATTATTAAACAAAACTTTTGTTCTTTTCTTTTTTTTTCCTTTTTTTTTTTTGTTTTTGGTAGTTTTAGAATCAAACAAATAAAGTTTGTGATTGATTCAAAAATTTAAAGGAAAAGATTTTTTAATTTAAATTTTTTAATTTTTTTCTTTTTTCTTTTTTTTTTGTAATAATGCATTCAGCAAAGTGTAAAAAAAAAAGAAAAAAGAAAAAAATTAATTGAGCAGATGTTAGATATCCTTATCTAACCAAAGCATTAAAATTTTTATGAACATCTAAATTAAACCAATTACTAAATAATATTTTAGAAAAGACTGTATAGCTGGCTCTATATATATATACATTTTCATAATCATGATTTATTGATGATGCAACTAAACGAATGAATTAAAAAGATTGGCATTCCTTTAGATGGAGATGGAGAAAATGTACTGAAATTTAATATCATTTATGCAAGATTTAACATGAAATTTATAAAGATGAAATGAAATTAATTTGTATTGATAACATAAATTAATGCATCAATTTTTTTTTTTTAACTTCTTTTACTTTCGAAAATGTGATAAATTCATGGTTTTTCGCTAGAATTCCAGCATAATTTATAGATTTTAAATTTTAGTTTTGGACAAGTATTTTGGAGAAGAAACAACAAAATTTTGAATTATGCTTAGGAGAGAATGTTAATGATGTTTTGGATGATGCTTCGAATGAGTGATGAGCAATTTTTGCATTTATGAAATTAAAATTTAGCAATAAAAAATTTCGTCGCATTTTTGAAGTGGTTTGAAGTCGTATAAGATAAATTAACTCTTCGTTTATCATATGCATTCTATAATTAGGAAGATCATAATTTTGCATTGGAAATAAAATACCAAAGTAAAAATTTTGAACTGTAAGTATACCATTTATTTCTAAAAGAGCAAAAACAAATTGACCTTTGAACTATCGTATTCATTTGTCATGAATCATTGTTTTCTAAGGAATAATTACTTTATGGTGCAAATTTTTCCTTCAAATATTAATATGTATATGCATCTCGAGAAATTCATCATCATACTGATAGATGGTAGGTATACATTCACCGAGAAGGATATGATTGTAGAAGTTAGAGCAAAAGGTAACATTGTATCATTTAGGAATTATGATCAGCAAAAAATGGAATCCATTGTGATTGAGAGTAAATTAAACGAATTAATGAAGAATGGTTGGAATCGGATAAGTAAGGAATTTATTATCATTATTATTACTGATGATATGCTTCCACCGATATCACCTTATCATCATCTACTAATTACTCAACTGAGAACAATAATAACTTGTTAATCTTATAACTGGTTTACATTTTATACAGTGAAATTATTACTTGTTCACATGCCTGCTATTTTTTCCTTTCTTTTTTTTTTGTTTCTCTAAAATCGTATGTCAAAATTTCAAATTTCATATCAAATTTCTTCAGAAAAAACAAAACAAAAATAAAGAAAAGAAACGAGGAAATTAGGAATTATTTAAAAACTTCCATCATTATCGGAATCATTTAACGATTTAATTTAAATGACAAAGTTACTACATCTATTAGCAATTATCACTTACTTATCTACTCTATATAATAATTGGTATGGATCAAATTACATATATACCGTATTTAAATCATTTCTCTTTCATAATCTATTCCTCTCTTCCTTCCTCTTCATTATTTCTATTAAATAGAATATCATTGAATATTCTCAGATATTTTGTTAAAAAATATAATTTTATTCGATAGAATGGATAAATAATGACGAATGACGAGATGATTTTCAACAGATTATTTAACATTCTGCAAATTTCAATTAATACCAAATGATTTATAAGAATAATAAACAGACAAAAGTTATACATATATACCGTATAATGTATGTATAATTGTAAAATGAAGTGAAAATTTTCAAAAAACATTAAAAAGGTGAAAGAATAGAATAACCTTGAAAGTAGAAAGCACCAATACTTTCGTTCATCTAGGCACTTTCGTTCATCATCAGTCATTTCTTGAAAGGCACGAGACATATTACAATGCATTGGATAACCATATGGAGCTGGAGGGAATCCTTTTGATCCACCGGATCCAGGATGATATACATCGCTCATCCTTTGTTTTTATCAGTATTTATCAATAATCAACAAAACAACACTGTAAAGAAAACACGGGATTTATATATATATATATATATATATATATATATATATATATTATATATATATATATATATATATATATATATATATATATATATATATA